AAAAAAAAGTATTACAAGAGAACACCTCCCACAGTAGGGAGCCCCATGGCCAAAGTGACTTTTTCTCCACAGACATTACAGCTGAGAATTTCCAGAAGAACCACATAAGAAAGCAAATAAAGCCTACAAGGGACCATCATGAGCTACTTTACTGTGTTAAGAGCCCTACAGATAACTCTTGCATAGAAACTGAAGCCAGAAGGAACAATAAAAATCTCTGTATATCAAAGTCACTAATCTTCACACAGTACCTCTAAACTGAGCTCAGTAACTTGTTTGACAACCTATCTTTCAGATGGATGTCAGTCTGGATGTGAAAACATGAGAAAGTTAAGAATCCTCACTTTCGTTGCTTATTTTTTGAAGTAAATTTTTACCACAAGAAGTGTGTGTACTAAACATTATCCGGGGTTTTGGCAGAAAGGGGTCCTTGGAGTTTCCAGGTAAAAGCAACAAACTGAACACTGCACAAGAAGCAGAGCCTTCTGAGAAAATCACTGAAACTCGAGTATCTCTTCAGCGTGGATGTGCCACCTTGCTCACTTTATGTCATTATGTCTGTCCTGTGAGATATCAAAGCTTATCTCTGGTAAATGGGTATTACAGTCTGACAATACAGCCCGGTAATTCCCGTGTCAAGGGGAGGGACATCATTTTGTTCACCATTAAAGATGTGTCCCCAATTTCTTGAATGGAGACTACAGTTGAGAACTTCTGCTTCCCAGGAGGAGGGTGAAAAGGTCGTTTGTGCAGGAGATACACTTCCCTTCAGTTTCCCCAATACGAAACAAGCTAAGAATAAACACACACCTATTGACTTTCCAGTAAGTAAACTTCCTTCTTTAACCCTTCTTAATATCGTCATAAACATTTGTAGCGTAAACATAAACATTCCAGCATAAACATTCTAGCACCCAACATCAGAAACAAAACACTTCACCCTCCGTCTTCCACTGGGCAAGCGAAAAGAAAACCAACGCTCCACAAAGGCCTAACCACAGGCCGGACACCGGGTCCCGTTAATCCACGCACCCAGGGACATCGAGGGAGCACGCCAGCGAAGCCAGCCCGGACACCGAGGCCGCAGGGCAGCCCATCCCGCCGGGGGCGGACCCGGCGCCGCACGGCGGGCAGGAAGGAGAGCTCTGCAGGTGGCGGGCCGGGTGCCCCCTCGGGAGGACAGGACACGGAGGGCCGGGTGCGAGGGGCGGCCCCGCGGCCGGAGGACTCACCTTGTGCTCCAGGACGCTGATGTAGCCCTCCAGGAGACCGGCCCCGACGGGGAGCGCCGGGCGGTGCTGGCCGCGTCCCGGCGGGCGGCTGGGCTCCGCCGCCACCTGCTGCTGCTGCTGCTGCCGCCGCCGTGGCTCCGGGTGGCCCCCGCCGCCGCCGCCGCCGATGCCACCGTACATGAGCAACAAGCTGGTGCACATGGTGGTGAGCGCCAAGCAGACGGCCAGCCCGTGGCGCTGCGGGGGGCAGAGAGAGAGGCCGCTCAGCGCTGCGGGGCAGCGGGCTCCCCCCGCCGCGGGGCTCTGCGGGGCGCCCCGCTCCCCACCGGAGCGCTGCCGGCAGCGCCCGCAAGTTTCGCGTCGCCGGAGACCCGGCAAAAGTGCGAGGAGAGAATTGGGGAACCCCCTCCTTCCTTCTCCTGGCCTCTCGTCGCCCTCGCTCCCTCTCCCCCAGCCCCGCTCCCTTGCCTCTTCTCCCCTCCGCCTGCCCGGTTCCCCGGCGCCTCTCACTCCCAATACGGCCGTCCCCGTTCGGGCAGCTCGTTCGTGCGTTTTAACGAGCGCTGGGGATTGTAGCGCTCCCCCCCACCCCGTGCGCGGCTACCTCCAGCCTCGTCCTTTAAAGCAGATCGGCTTTCTGTACGCTCCTTACAGCGCACACACACACACACACAAAACCCCCAAAGCACGAGCAACACGAATAAAAGAAAGCAGGCGGAAAGTTCTTCGCCGCCGCCGCCGGGGTTTTGTTCGCGTCCCCGCGATCCCGAAGAGCGGCGGGGACGCAGCCCGGGGAAGGCTGGAGCGTGTGCAGGGTGCCCGGGGCAGCCCCGCTCCTCTCCGCTCCGCTCCTCTCCTCCCCGCCGCCGGAGCCGGGATGAGCAGTGGCCGGCAATGCGCTTACCATCAGGGTCTTCATTTTGTGCGCCTCCCGGCCTCCAGTCCTCCCGCTCCCCGCTAGGCTCGGCATGGCGGGGAAGCCGCAGACATGGCTCGGCCGGGGAAGCGCCGCCGTGGCGGGGATTAGGGGGGAATTACACCCGGCCGGACCCTCCGAGCCTGCCAGAGCCGGGTCCTCGGCTGCCCCGCCTGCCTCCGCCCCCGCCTCCGCCTCCTCCTGCCGGCGCAGCGGCGGCTCCAGGG